GCAGCACCGCTGCTGTGACAACTGTAATTCTGTCTTTGAGGGTCACAGAGCTCTTAATTACAGAACAATTCAATCAATTGAACCACCAGCAGTCTTTCCTTAGGTCCCAAGCTGGCAACAATTAAACACTTGCAAGCATCTGGCCCTCAAAGGGTAGGGGTACCCTATGGCACTAATCCAGTGGCCTCCAGACACAGAGACAGCTGTCTGAACACTGCCTGCAGGGCAATGTAAGCGCACATGGTCTGTTGCAACTTAGCAACTGTAAGAACATTTTTTAAAAGTGTCATTGCAAAAAGACCAGAAAAGCAAAAAAAAAAAAGAAAAGAAAAGCAACCAAGGATTGTTCTTTGCTGTTGGTTTCAGCAAACAGCTTAATTTGTTAAAATGCTTCTAAAATATCATTTTTCTACGTGGTACTTTTTAAGGAACCTGGGAATTTTGTAATTCTCCACCCACCCCCAAAAAAAATCTGAAAAAAAAAAACTTCCCGTAGCAGCAAAATCCTAAACCAACCTTGCAAGAACAAAGATGCCCAGAAAGACAACTTATTAGCAGCAAATATGCTATTCATCTGTCTCGGGGTCCTGTTATCGACTGTTTTCTTATTTTCACAGAGGCCTTTCTCTTTAACCAGACTTGAAGGGTACGCCTCCCTTCCAGAGCTCTTCTGGAACCCGGACACACAGAAGCATGGCAAGAATGCTAGAACCCTGTTGACACCATCGTTACCCCCCGAGACACTGTGGGGTCTGCAGCCGCACAGCTGCTCCCGAACCGCGGCAGGACGCCCTCCTGCACCGCGCTGCACCCCTGCTCAGTAGGGTCCCAGCTGGGGCGCGCCTCTCGACGACCCACCCCAGCACCCTCCTGCCTCCGACACAGAGCCTTTAGTGTTTTATTCTCTTTCCGTCTTCCTTCCAAGGCATTCAGGGGATGGGGCTATAGTAAGAATCACAAGTTTGGTACTGTGCAGGAGATCTATAAACATTAATAAGTGGATAATAAAAGACTTTACATGAAAATCTCTGACCTACACAACCACAAACCGGTAACTTGGTAGCACAGTACAAAGAGGTAGGCCAGGGGAAGGTCTATTGTAAATCCTCCCTGTCCACCACTTCCTCCTCCTCCAGCTCCTCAACTTCCTTCTCCGCCTTCGCGGCAGGGCTCCCCGGCGACTCGGCTGAGGTCTGCTCTGTGCTGTCCTCCGCCTCGCCCCCGGCCTCAGTCTGGCGCTCGCTGGCCTGCTCAGGGGGTGCGCCCTCAGTCTGCAGGCTGCTGTCCGCGCCCGTCTCCGCCCCTCCTTCCTCCCGCAGTTTCCTCTTCCTCCTCTTGGGGCTGCCGGAGCCATCAGCGGGGCCGGCCTGCGGCATGCTGGGTAGGGCCATGCTGATCCCGTGGGGGAGGAACATGTGGGGGTAAAGCAGTCCGTGGGACATCCCTGGGATCAGGAAGGGGTTAAACGCCAAGTGTCCACTTGTCGTCGTCGACGTGGTGACCACGGGCTCCGCACGGCTGCTGCTGACACAGGCCGAGCTCGTTGTTACATCTGATGGGAGCTTGTCTTCCTTTCTGGCGTCCAGGCTGTCCTGCGCGTCTCCCGCCTCCCTGTCCACTCCTGCACAGGAGGCCGTGGCCTCGTTGCGAGAGCCCTCGTTGGCAGCTGGGCTGGAGGCAGCAGGAGAGCCACTTCCTGCGCTGCTGACCGTGGCCACAGGAGGCGCCGGGGCAGAGGTGGAGGACGGGCTGGTGCTGGGTGGCTGGCTCAGGAGCCCGCCGACGCTGAACATGTGAGGCTGGACCGCTGCCATGCCGTGCAGCATCATGGGAAGCATGTTAAGGCCATTCTTGGCGTCCTCCCCAGCGGGCACGGCGGCAAACCCGTGAGGGAACCCCATGAGCCCGGCCAGGGGGATCCCCGGCACGTTGCGCAGGTTCTGCAGGCTCACCAGGTCCATGCTGCCGATCAGCCCGTTCATGAAGAGCGGCCCCATGCTGGAGGGCGAGTCGGCCATCATCCCCGCCGCCTTGGCCATCTCACTGCGGGGCCTCCGGCCTCTCCGGCGCGGGCCTGGGTCGCGGGAGACCGGCTCCGTCAGGATGCGGTTGAACTTGCCTTCCGGGAGGAACCCCTTCGAAAAAACACGGGGATGTTAACGCTGACAGACCGCAGCCCCTCCCGGAGCAGAGAGGAGCACGCAGAGCCCTGTCCCCGTCCCTAACCCTGAGCCTGGAAGGGGAATGTGGTCACACTCATAATGCAGAGACTAAGGCAGCCCTGCGCTACACAACAGCTACGGGGACTGCTGGTTTCAGGAAAGTAAACACAACAGATTTTAAAATGTAGCCTTGCAAAGGTTAAATATGTAGTTTCAGGCCACTTCAGACTGCTTGTGTGCATGGATTGATTACCACTGGTTTGGCACTCACAGAATGCTTGACGATGTCTGCCCAGTCGGGAGCCACAGCGTACTCGGAGTTGGCATCCAGCCATCGGGACAGCTCCTTTATTGCTGGTGCCATAGCGCCCCCCAGCTGCAACACACCACAATGACAATAAGATCAGACAGAGCAATAATACTAATAATAATAATAATAAT